AATACAAAATTAAAATTAAGTAATACATTTTAATCATAAATCTAACACTGCAAACTGAACATACTCGTTCATTTTTGTCAACTAAAGTTCCAGGGCATTGATATTCCGTCTTTCTTTCTCAAAGAAAATTATTATCTTGTTAATTTATTATTAAATTAAATATTTAAATGATAATTGGTATAAATATACCGAGCTATAGTTATAAGTATGCCTCTCATCGGAATGTACAATGGACATAACTATAGCAAGAACAATAAGAGCAGAGAACAACACAATGTGATAGAATTTGTCCGTGTAGCCTATGTAGTGGTATGCCGTATGTGGGCCCCGTTACATATAATTTGCAGTTCTTGAGGTTTTTAGAATTTCTTTTTTGGATTTACAAAATAAAATTAACTGTGACCACTGACGAAACGTGCTTCAAGACGCTCCCGTATGTGGCCATAGTGCTGTCTCTTTACTCGGAGCTACACTATAACAGGGAGTTAGCACACTTGTTGACTTGGAATTGGCTTGAGCCGGTGAGAAAAAGCTTCTCCATGTAATAAGAGCGAAGAAGATGTTGCGCGTTTCGCTTCCGCCAGAAACGTCTTTATTAGAGATCTCTTGATTATATTAATTGTATAATATTCTCTCTTACCGACTTAATGCGATATCGTGTCGAAAAATGTGGTGACACTTTTAAGGCTCGAATTATACCGACGCTGCAAAAGTCTAACGTGCAAAATATTCTTTCAAAATGTTCAAGGCTGGAAAATATTACAGGAAAGGGTCTTTTTTTAATTTATTTATTTTGACACAGTTACAAGATACAAATTATATAATACAAGTAAAAGTATGACTCTAACCAGAAACAAACAAATTTGTAGCTCAATAACAACCGCGCACAACATGCAAATAAATAATATTTTGCAACTTAATGAATATGCCTAACTAAGTCAATAGAAAATGTGTGTATACTTTAAGGCGGCCTCCGTGGTCGAGTGGCTTGCACACCGGTTTTTATGGTGTCGCCATCTCTGATGTCCCGGGTTCGATCCCGGCCTGGTCAGTGTAGAAAACTAACTTTTCTATGTTGTCTCGGGTCTGGGTGTTTGTGGTACCGTCGTTGTTTCCGATTTCCATAACATAAATGCTTAGCTACTTACTTTGGGATCAGAGCAACGTATGTTAAATTGTCTAATATTTATTTATTTAAATAAACTTACTTCATTTTGTGGTGTGTGCACGTGCCTCCTTACAGTCCGGGCTTTTTATAATTTATACAAAAATGTGTAGCTCTGGTGGAATATATGAAAGCTTTAAAGCAATAAAAAAAATGTAACTCTAATTTTACTTGTTATATAAAAAAGTAGAAAGTTTCAGCTTTTCCTTTTAACGTATAAAATTAGAGTTATGATTTTTTTTCTTAAAAAATTCTACTTTAAATCACTCTCTTGTAATATTTTCCAAATGCACGTTAGACGTTTTACCTTTCCGCCCACATCCCTGGTGTTTTTTTTCCGTCTTATATCTGGCCCTTATTTCCTCTTATCGTACCAATGGCGTACACTATAATGCTCTATAATAAATCATGGTGAATTTATTTACCAATCGGAATCGGATACTGGCCGATTGTTGCCCAGGGCGTGCCAAACTTACACGCAAGGGATGGTACGTCGTTCGGAGAGGCTCTTTCGTGCACCCCTCTACTAATTACTACGGTAAAGCAATTTTTGATTTTGTCTGTGGTTTCTCTTCAGGAGCCGGTGAATAACACGTATAACACGGTGGAGGTGCTGTCGCCAAATCCGCCTTCGGAGACCACTGTCGAGGACCAGAGCTTTCGCACCACCAAAGATGAGTTATTACAACAAATATCTAAGGTAAGTTCTTCACTTGACATACACATAATTTAATAGCAGACAGCTCCTTGTGAAAGAATTCATCTGGGGAAATACTGCCACTTATTTCTGCCGCCAACCATTAATGCGAGCATTACTGCGTTCCAGTTTTGAAGGGTAATGATATTATAGGCACATGGGTGCTTTCTACTTATGCCTCAGATCTTTGAGATTTAAAGTTCTGAGTGGTACTACAATTGTCATAGACAGGCGTGTCGTTCACCATCAGGCCCACGACTTGTTCGCCCCTTCACTTAGTATCATAAAAAAAAAAACAAAAATTTTTGGCTCTTTGGGAGAGTGTCTAGGTATGAAACTATTCACAAACATTGATTCAATTTTTTTTTTACATCTTGCAATACAATTAATGCCAAGAAATAGTGCAGGGAAGTGTTTTTACACATTGGTTAGGCAGCATTTTGATTTACTTACTTTGATTGATTGATTTACTTATTTTGATTTATTACTATTATTTTCAATAACGATCAAAGCCCCTAAATAAATAAAGAGTTAAAAAAATCTCATGATTTCTAAACGAATATACACAAAATGCGTAACCAACATGTTTCTGATTTTTAGTCGCATAAATAATGCATTGTCAAAACAGTGTTTAGTTCATGCATTTCATATTCTTTATATCAATTAAAAAACATGTAATGTGTTATGTGACCCATATACGCGATGGCGCGATGATTGTTTTCCATTTCTACTGTCTGTAAAATCTGTGAAAACATATGATTTTAACTGTATAAAAGTGGTTTTTATTAAAAGGAGTTCAGATTAATACTGAATGCTGTTAAAATGTTAGTAAAAGTAACGGGAACCTTTACGCCTCTCACGCGTTTCTTTACATCGTAAAGCGTTAACTTGCTCATTGTTTCACAGTTAAACCTTTCGAGTTTCACGAACCATTTGCCATTGCATCATGCCGGTGTCCTCAATGCCACGATGGTTTCCTTTATTGTCAATGCAGTAAACGGAATGAATATTGTTTTAATTAAGAGTGGACACAACCTCAAACGGCTTTGGTTGGTTCCGCATAACAGTGAAAGTATTGAATAGTAGAATTGAGGATATACATTGATTACTTGTAAGGTGTAAAAACATGACCCCTAAAAATTTTCACGATAGAAAAAAAAACACACAAAAACACAACAATATTTTACATATACCAATGATTTTTTTTTACATCAACTGAATTAAATAGAAAATGTAGTGCTATACATTTTTCAAATGGCTTCAATTTCTTTTGTAAAAAAATATAATTCTAAATTAAAGCCAGTGTCCCTACAATTCGACACACGCAAAATGAACTATATTAGCAGGGGAAAAAGTTTTAATTCGAACTGAGGTAGTATCGACTCTTTAAGTGTTCCCGCTAATTTTGGCTATATATTTTAAACCTGAAAGAGCGGTAATTAAGTTTGGCAGCTATTCAAAGATCGACAGGTCAAACCTTTCTGGCAGCATGTATCTTTGAATTAAAATTTCAAATTACCTAACGGTGAGGGCAAATATTGTGAAAGAAATGCACGTTGAAGTAGGTTCATGATTATTGATTCTTGGACAAAATATTGGGCTAGCGTGGCGGACTATCACTCTGTTCTTAGAGGACACCCGTGCCTAGTAGTGGAACGTATAAGTAGTGGAACGTATAATGGGTTAAATAAAAAATACAATATTGCAGTATTTATTTCATTAAACATCGTAATGTTGTCACTGCCATGACATTCATATATTTTTGTTAGAAATAATAACAAAGTAATTATTTTTTCTCAGTTGGTAACAGTGGTAGCCCGGCTTGGCAAACAGGCGCTGGTTCGAAGCCAGTCGAAGCGACGGAATTTTTCTAAGAAATAAAATATTGTTTATTTAGGAACATCATCCATAGTAATTACTTGTAGTCAGTTAGTAACAATTTGTCTTCAAAATATAACAAAAATTCTGAAACCGTTAGTACTGTACTCTCCCATGAACAGTTAAATCCAATATTTTTGCATGGGACCCACACACGTGTCCGCAATTTGAGTGAAAACTGACAATTTACATTTTGCACCTTGCCAAGTTGCATAACAACAACGCTGTGAAGTCAAAACTAGGCAAGGTATTGCAGTGTGTGGAACATGCTTTAAAGAAACCTCAAACGAATTCCCGCATAATTATTGTAATATCTAATATCATATGTATTTGTTTCCGTAGGTGGATCGAGAGATGGCGCTGTCGGAATCGACGCTGGCCAAACTAAAAAAGAAGCAAGAGGAGCTGGAACAGACTGCTTCTAAGCCTGCGCAGACCGAAGAACCTGAAGAAGCGCCGCCTAGACATCGGAGTCTTGCGCAAAACGTGTATGCTGATAATAGGAAAAAGGTAAAGGACCAGTTTCATGATGTTTATGCAAAAAAGAGAGATTCTTCATGATTCACTCCTGTTAGTAATTCTATTCTTACACATCCTCAATCCTGACGGGGATTCTTCCCTTTACAAGCCTCCACAACCACCCCTTACAGCTTGCCAGTACCACCATATCGTTTCTTAGCCCCGAGTAACGTAACATAAGAATCGAGTAAGTCCTATCAGTATTATTGAGAAGTGTGGGGATGAGAGTAGAAAAGTTAGAACGTTTTAGAATAGAACTTACAGAAGGACTCTCCGGCTGTTCCAATGGAGCAGTCGGAGGTAAGTGTAGAATTAGAACTCGTATCAGGGGGGCTACTCTCGACCTCCGTCCGACATCCGTCCGAAGCAATTACTGTCAAATAAGTAATATTCGACAAAATTAAAAGACAAGTATCCAGTACGAAGCTTCATTCGCATGACGCGTCTTTTCATTTGGTCAAGTATTGCTTATTTGGCAGTAATTGTTTCGGACGGATGTCGGACGGAGGTCGAGAGTAGACCCCCAGAACAGAACTGCAGCTTGATTTTGATTGCCTCTCCCGATCGGAAACTGCGTCTTTTCCGAGTCGAGGCGCATAATTGAGATTCACAACTGACCGATCGGAAGCTTTGACATTTCTAATCGGAACAATAGTTGATTTAACTCACAAATTAGAAAGACACAGTAGGAATCAGGTTCATCTTCTCGCTCGGAAACCCATCTCATTTCGAGACTACCCGATGTGTTCGATCCGATCCGATTTGAATCAAAATTAGCACGCTGGGAACTAGTCTGCTGGCAGGGAATTCCACTCCATAGCCGTACGCCATATAAATGTAGAAGTGAAATGCTTCGTGGAATTATTGGAATATCCACAACGTATAGGCGTAACTTCAGCCTACGTCTAGTCCCCCGATGACGGAAAGGGAAAAGCAGAATTAAAATATTAAATATTTAGACAACATTACATAAGTTGCTCTGATCCCAAAGTAAGTAGCTAAAGCACTTGTGTTATGGAAATCGGAAACAACGACGGTACCACAAACACCAAGATCAGAGACGATATAGAAAAATTAGTTTTTCTACTTTTACCCGGTCGGGGATTGAACCCATGGACCTCAGAGTCAAAGTCAAGGTGAAATAATAATTTATTCCATAGGTAAAATAAATTTGCTCTTGAAAACGTTTTTTTAAGCTACTGCTCATTCACTATGCTGACTTCCTTGAGAAGAACGAGCAAGAAGCTCTAGGAATTGCTCTTTTCAAATAAACTTAAATGCATTTTTAATCAAATTTGTATGGAATCTAGAGCAATGTCGTCTTTCCATACATCTTTATCTTACACGTAGTCTTAAATTTTGTAATATGATATTTCAATTCAAATATTTTTAATGTAGAATTTAAACTTAGGAAAATGGTAATCACAGATTTCGACGTCATGAAAACTGATGTGCAAACCACTCGAACAGAGATGGTCATATTATTAAGAGGAGTTTCTTAGAGTTCCTTCGCATACTCTCCGTGATATATCCTGTAGAATACTAACCACACACCTTTGATAATTCACAGGCATCGTCCGCGCACGGGTTACTTTCGCATCTCGGTCCTCCAGTGTTATACCCGCTGTACAATCAACCACAAGACACGGAGGTATACCACGAGAATATCAGGAAACACAGGGTCTTCCGTAAGCGACTCGCCGAGCACATACGACGGCTCAAGAGCGTAGCTGAAAAGGTAACCAAAATATATCACCCTATATATGTAACACCTGGTCGCAGTTATCCATTTTAAGGACACCCAATATCAAACTTGAATTCAAATAATCTTTATTTCATAGGTAAGCAATTTATATTTGGAATTGTCATGTTAAGTAGGCAGGTAACCCTGAGAAGAATGAATAAGTAACTCCAGGGGTTGCTCTTTGTAAATAAAACAAACAGTACACAATCGCGTAAATAATGAAGAAAAACCTAAGAACTTATATGTATGAATACAACGCACATACGCACACGCCCATCCACGTCCATGCTGCACCGTAGTATTGCTCTTACCAACTTAGCTACGAGTCCAGTTACCGATCCGCTTAAATTCCCTTATGTGTTTTTGTTATAAACCTTTGTACTGGCTTTCGGTATTCATCACCGCCAGTGACATCTAGTGAGAGATTTTTGAATAACATTCTCACCGCAGCTGTGGACTAGGCTACTGTATTAGATTAGTACTAATTTAAATCAAGTACTTTAAGAAAAAATATTAAAATCATTCCCTTATTTTACCTAGAGGGGTAAATGGTCAAAAACGCTTAAAACATTGTTTATTTCTTACAAAAGGCATAAACATGAATTTCCAGATCCCTTACTTGAGAAATGTTTGATTCTGTATATCACAGGTTCCCAAACTTTTAAGCTCACCTAGGCAAGATAAAAAAATTTCAACGCTCACCACTACAAAAAATAATAGGAAACACATTGACTTACAAGTAAATGGACGACGGGTCTAATACAAAAACCACGAAATAAATGTCCCAAGTCAACCTATTTAAACGTAGTGACATGTAAAGGAATATTGGAAAGCTAAAACGTTGAATTTAAATTGTAATGTCATCGCAGTACTGTCTAATTTTGCTTGCTTCGCTGTCAGTCGAACAAACGAAGACTAAAGCGTGAATGACGCTCTGTATACGATTTTAACGCCCTATAAGTTCGGACACTTTTTAGCGCGGACCCGACGTCCATATAATTGTAAGTCAATGAGAAAACACGTATTTTTTATATTAGCTTAATATAAAAAAAATCACAAGGAAACAAATTATATATGTATGTAGTGTAGTGTAAATAGATAATTCTGATATTTCCTGCAAATGCTGTAGGTAGCAGCCTCTTGACAGCATCAACGTTCCCAATTGCTTCCGAGGTGGTTAGTTAATTTCGCATTTATAATATCAGTATCAATGTCATACATCCAAACAACTTAAGGAGCTCAACTGGGTTCTACCGAAGATTTTTGTTATTCAAGTACACAGGTGCTGTGAATAACCTGGGGCCTTACCATGAACTCTTATTACAGTTTAGTATAGGTTCGTAACGACTAAAAAGCGGGATGGTGATATACACTTCATGTAGCGCTGTCTCACAACGATTCAGGTCCTAAACTGAATTGTAATAAGAGTTCATGGTAAGGCTCCTGTAGTGTAAAGTTTGTTTAAAACCTTTGAAACTCAACCGGATGCATACATCGCTTTTTAAGTATCTATACTACCTCGCCATAAATGGCTATGGCTTTGGTTGATTCCGCACAACTGTGAGAGTGTTGAATCAATCACTTTGAAAAAAAAATATATCGAACAATTGAGGATATACACTGATTACTATACGGTGTGAAAACACGATTCCTAAAAAAAAAAAACACAAAACTTACCTTGAAATTTTACGAGATACATTTTTCAAGTAGTTTTAAAAATAAGTGAAGACGACTGTCCAGAACAGCCATTTCTTTTTATTCCTCGTATCAATGTTACGTCTATCACTATTTTTCATTAAAAAAATTACAATACTTCTTGACATTAATTACATTTTCATATAATGTACTGTGGCTCCGGTATGTTAATAAATACGAAGATTCATTCTGGCCTTAGTTATTGTTCGGAAAATACAGAATACGCCAAAGAGCTCCACTATTTAGCTGTACCTACGGATAATGAACACACATTCATTTAAAGGGCAATATATATACGCTTCTATAAAAATATTCCGGGTGATATTCAAAATTCGCCATTTATGAGGTTTGAAACTACAGTGAAACAAAAACTTTATTCTAAAGATATATTTTCCGGTTACTTATCAGTAGTACGAAATTACATTTTCCAGAAATAACATTTGCTGGAATTTTCATAACCTCGAAAGTAATTTTGAGACGAAAAGGTTTTTTCTTTTAAACCTAACTTAACCGAACCTAATCGTGTCTTTGCGATAAACATCCAAAAGAACAACGGTTTCGTTATAATTCGGTTTTCGGTGTAATGAAAATTCGAACAAACGTTATTTCGGAAAAAAAATTCGAGTTTGTGATAGGTTACCATATTTTACAGCTTTTATTTGGATGACAAAAATCCGTGGTACAGACCCGCTTAGCTCTTGCCGGTATTTTCGATCTAAGATGATTGAAATAAATGTTGTAAATGATAAAATGTATTCAAATGTATATTTACAAAGAGCAACCCCTAGAGTTTCTTACTCATTCTTCTCAGGGGAATCTGCCTTACGAATGAGCTGTAGAGTTTAATCGATATGATGGTTTCAAGTGTAATTTGCTTACCTATGCAATAAAGATGATTTAACTTTGACTTTTAAATATATTGGTATGGCCTATATAATCAGGAAGAATCATGACATTGGCTTAAGAATTTTGGCGCTACAGAAAAAATAATAGAAATCAAATATGAGTATAGATGTTGTCCACATTAACGATTATGGCCACTAATCCGAGGTACAAATTTAATTAACATGATGAACTAAGTGGCTATTTCAACATTTTCCTTATGACGCATCAATAATTGTAAACATGCTCTTTTTTCTGACTAGGCAAAAACTCTTTGTTGGACACTGTAAATGTGAATTAAGCTAGTCAAAGACGTTGGTTGTTTCAACTAGAAAACGACGCACTGTTGAGCATTGGTCTTGTTAGGACAATTTTTATTTATTTATTTTTAAATAACTCCCTCCGTGGCCTAACGGTTACCATAAAGGACTTCCGCGCAGAGGTCTCAGGTTTGATTCCCGGGTCGGGAGAAATATTTGTATGGCCTACATTTATTTCTCTCATTTGTAATTTGTAGTTGTCTATGTATGTGTCCATGGCAACTACGACACAAGGTCATTCATTTTCATAGGACCGTTCCAATACAATAGTGTAGCTTTTCTATTTACTTTTATTAATAATAATATTAATAATGCAGAAGGCAGTCCTACTCGATACGGCACGTATTGTTCGGTTCTTGAACCTGAGTCCCTGACCTCGCCCGATTGTGCTATTGCCGGGGAATACAGCCTCTCCCATTTAAAAATTCAAAATTAATTAATTATTTCTTTTAGGCCATGGGAGACGCGAGAGTCTAAAATAGATATCCATATTAATAACAATAATAATACTGATTAATAGTAATTAACTATATTAAATCCTTGAAGCGGAAATTTGTTTTTGCAATTTCTTGTCTCAAAATAAATAAGGCTGGTGGCATTTTACTATTTCATATGTATGCAGCTGCAACTCCTTACAGTAGGTCCAAATTATTATATTATTTATATTATTATAATTATTCCACAAATTCGCTGTTTTTTTATGTATAATTTTATTCGGTCATAACATTCCTGACAGCGTTAATTTTAGTGTAAGTTTTAGAAAATCTCATTTATTTATTACACAGTTATAGTTTCAGAGAATAAAAAATGTAAATGTTTCACCCTAATTGATATTCAATTGTTTTTTTTTTAAGAAATTACTCGACTAGTTTGTTGTAATTATGAATACAAAGATCGTTCGTTCCCTGGCTTAGTTAGCATAGCGTCTGCTACGGTTTGCTAGGTGACGTCGGTTCGAATCCGGCCGGACCGAAGGAATATTTTCTAAGTGTTCGACCTTTTTATTAATAATTATAACAAAATGTTATAGAGTTTTTATTTGCATGGTTTAATTGTAGGTGACCTTAACACCTTCCCTCTTAGATTTTCTCTCCATTGTTTTATGGCAATTATGCAAATCAACACGTTTTTTAGTCCTTCAATCCACCTTGAGTATTCTTCAACTTTTTTAAAATCGTCTGTCTATATGATTGTGGTTATTATTCACCATTATTGTTACAGCGAGAAGACGCGTTAGCGGAGGCGTACAGCAGACGCGCAGCGGAGTGGTTACGGCGCGTCGAGCGGATAGAACAGGGCCAGAAGAGGAAAACCAAGGACGCCAAGAACAGAGAATTCTTTGAAAAGGTACACAACGCCACGAATTTACCTTCAAAGCGTCTAGACCATAGGTTCCCAAACTTTCAAGCTCACCTAGGCAAGACAAAAAAACATTTCAACGCCCACCAATACAAAAAATAATAGAAAACACGGATTTTTTATATTAACTTAATATAAAAAATCACAAGGAAAACAATTATATATGTATGTAGTGTAATGTAAATAGATAATTCTGATATTTTCTGCAAATGCGGTAGGTAGCAGCCTCTGGACAGCATCAACGTTCCCAATTGCTTCCGAGGCCCTACTGCCACCCTAGGACTCCTTGACGCCCACTAGGGTGTGCTAGGGACCACTTTAGGAAACTATGGTCTAGACCTAGCATAAAGCACTTTAAGTTTAAGAGTCTATACTTCCTTCCTACGGTTGACTCCGCATAACAGTGAAAGTGTTGAGTCAATAACTTAAAAAATATATAGTAAAATTGAGGATTTACACGGATTAGTATATGGTGTGAAAACTTGATTCGTAAAAATTTTCGCGATTATAAAAAAACACAAACTTTTCTCGAAATTGACAAATGTTTTTTTATATCAACTGAACTAAATAGTACACGCATAGTATACGATATAATTTTTCAAATGGCCTTAAGTTCGTATGTAAAAAATAAATTTTGAAATAAAGCCAGTATTATAGTGTATCCACACACACGCAACACTGTTAGCTTAGTCTTAAAAATTATATCTTTATATACGTAACTAAATAATTTTATTTGATGATGCAAAGATCGAACACTGGAAAACATTACTTCGATCTGGCTGGATTCTAACCAACGTCTTCCAGCAAACTGTGCCAGACGCTGTGCCAACTAAGCCACGGAACGAATAGGAATATTTCTTTTTGTTTTTGGTTTTGAATAACTTTTTTGCTGTAGCGGTTGTCGTAGACTTTCTTCTCAGTGAAACAGAAATAGCAATGAACAAAATGGGTGAGATTTAACCCTTTAACTGACGAAACATTTTTGTTTATAATAATACCAAGTGTCGGCATGAGCAAATCGTACACGACACGCTTGTCCATAACAGTGGCTTTAAATCACAAAGTCAGCTTCGCCCCCCTGAGAAATAAGTTAGTAGCAGTAGCAAGGAGCTGTATTGCATATTAAGTGCCGTCGAGTCAGTGATACATCACTTGTAAATATCAACTCTCGTTTGCACTGAAATAGTACAGCGCCAACAACTGACCTGTGTGTACGTCTCCGTAAATTCCAAAAATATTCTGTATTTATTGTAATAAATATAATATCTCTAACAATGGCGTGCTGTTGCATTCGGTGGTGTGGGGAACACCAAATCATCTAATTACAAAACAAACGGAATCAAATTCTATCGGTGATTAAATATTAAATATGTAATTTTGCAATTTTCGTCCATTACAGCAAAGCTCGAGTTACTGGTCGATTTGAAGGAAAACAGTAATAATATGGCAGAACGGTTTTCAACCATGTCTCTGTTTCTGGTTATACATTGGATAGTAAGGGTCGTGTCTTGCGCAGGTGTTCCCCGAGCTGCGCAAGCAGCGCGAGGAGCGCGAGCGCTTCAACCGGCTGGGCGCGCGCGTCAAGTCCGAGGCCGAGCTGGAGGAGATCGCCGACGGGCTGCACGAGCAGGAGCACGAGGACAAGAAGATGCGCTCGCTCACCGTCGTGCCGCCGCTGCTGAGGGACCCCGACGACCGCCGGCCGCGCTACAAAGACACCAACCGTGAGTGCGCCCGCGCTGGCCCCGCAACAGATAATAATAACGCACGCACTCGGCGCAGCCCCGCGCTAGGGAAACCCTGTGTCGCGGGTGCCACGGACGCACACGTAGACAACCACAAGCTACACCCAAACTTGTAGGCCGTACAAATATTTCGCCCGGCCCGGGAATCGAACCTGGGACCTCTGCGTGGCAGTCCGGCGTGGTAACCGTTCGGCCACGGAGACAGTTTCACAGGACACATTAAAATATCAAACGGCTTCAATTGAGGTGACGCAGCACCCTAACTACCAACATAATAGTAATAATATTTGTTCCCAGTAGGTCCAATTCGGGAGATAATCATAATTAATTAATAATTTGTGTACTGTATATCCATAGGTCCCTGGTTCAAATTCAGCTCGAAAGACCAAAAATTTGAAGGGGTTTAGATGTTAAACGGAGGCAGTGGACTTTGTTCCTACTGTTCTGAAGAGTTTACCCATAAAACCAACAAATGTAATTTTGGAAAAACATTGGTGACACCTTTAACTCCCGTACAGCTGTGTACTGGCGGCAGTTAGAAGCTCCTTGTTTGCGACGAATGAATATTATAAATAATTACTGACAAGCGGTTTTACATTTTTTAGCAGCGGTTTCATAATTTCGTATCAACTTCACGTCTCAATGACCGTCTCAAGAGACGTTTCTATTTTCTTCTTTGTGGGCATAGCCAAGCGCGAAAGGAGGTCGCAGAATGCCTCCCAATCTTTTCCTAAAAATACCTTTAATGGTTCATGGGCTCAAACAACAATAATAATTTATTTATTCTCTAATTTGTATCTTATTAGTTATTACACATCCTCCACATAGATACACGCAATTCGTCATTTACTTGATTTCGGTCCGTAAATGTCATTCAAACTAGACAACAGGCTGAGAAAGAAGATAATAATAATAATTTATTTATTCTACCACAGTGAAACTTAAACTTGAGTACATTAAATATCGTGTATTATTATTATTATTGCGGAAGACTGGTGCTCAAACTAGATAAACCCTGTGTTGTATGAGACACCAGAGACCTGGTGGACACCAGAACCTTTGCGGAACAAACTTTAAATCAAAAATTTTATTATTTATTTATTTATTCACTCTCACATAAGGAAGATTGTACATTATAATTATATGTTAAACAAGACTTAATAATGACTAAAGTTAGCTACCTTAAGCGAGAGTCTGGAGTTCGTACTAGGTAACTAGACCTGTGTTACAAATCTCCAGATGAACTTTTTTCTATCCCTTTTGGTTTGGGTTAATTTTGTTGTATTAATAGTCATAGTTTATATTATATAAATAAGTCTCTTGCCGCTCCCACGGCCTAAAAAATTAAATTTGATTTATTATTAATAAAACAAATTTTTAAACATTGTACTTCTAAATACGGCGTAATGTAAATGAAAACCTAGAAGAGCCTCTCTAATTGTTCTAAACTAAAATTAGATCATATGTTTTTTATAACAACGAAAGGGACGCACTTAAATCTACCTTAGTTAACGTTCGTCCAAAAAATCCACTTTAATTAAATTAAAAAGATGTTTATTTCCCCAAAAAACAACTATTGTGGATAAAAATGTTCAAGACTCATAATTGCTGGTTTTCAGTGTTCACCTGTAGCAGATCGTGATTTCGTATACCATTTGACTAGTATTTGCTTGTTGTAGGGCGGTGTATGGACATGGAGGCGGAGCACAAGCAGCTGAACATGCGGAACGTGTGGTCGCAGGTGGAGCGCGAGGCCTTCCGCGACAAATACCTTCAGCACCCCAAGAACTTTGGACAGATCGCCTCCTTCCTGCCGAGAAAGAGCGTGCGGGACTGTGTTAGGTAATTACGCCCCAATAAAACCTATCTCGCACCCTCAATAATTAAGTGACATAATTCCAAAAGTCGTCACTTTTGGGAAACATGACAAAATTCATATAAAAAAAACTTATACGTTATGTACCATTCACTAGGTGCCAGTAGACTACCGTCGGCATCGGCGGTCTGATCCACACTTCTTAAGAGTTTATACAACTTCAAATGACTTTGGTTAACAGTGAAAGTCACTTTGGAAAAAATATTATAATAAAATTGAGGATATATACTGATGGTTTTCTTGTAAAATTTCGAGATATATTTGTGTTCTTATTTCTGTTGTGAAAATTTTTAGAAATCGCATTTTCACCCCATATGTCTCATGGTAACGGGCGCAGTAGCGTTGCCTCTAAGATCTTTGCGATTTATTAAGTAGAATCTAAATAAATATATTTAGATTACAGTTATGAACAAGTATCAAAAGATTTCTCATAGATGGCGCTACGGCTAAAAAGTCGTTGAAAAACCAAATACAAAGACACGACAACAAACACATAGAAAAATTCGTGATGTCCGCGGGTTCATTCCGTGGCTTAGTTGGTATTCTGTCTGGCACGTCTAGCACGGTATGCTAGAAGATGTCGGTTCGAATCCGGTCGGATCGAAGGAATTTTTTCTAAGTTTTTTGTATTAATAATTGTAACAAACTAGTGGAGTAATTTCACTTATAAAATAACTGAATATCAATTCAATAAAAATTTAAGTATCGAATATAAATTGTGTGATTTTAAACATGTTGAGTATATCAGAAGCTCCGTTTCCTACAGATTTTACTACCTGTCGAAAAAAGCGGAGAATTACAAGCAGCTGCTGAGAAAGCCGCGTGCGCGCCGGCCGCCGAGAGGCGTACGCGCCGCGCCCGAACCGGAGCTGCCGGCGGGAGTCACCACCAGGCTGCAGAGATCGCAGGGTGAGTCCACCTAGCACTCTAATCGTGTACTTCACCACCGACACAAAACGGACCGTTCTACGCGATCTGTCTGGCGTACAATAGCATTCTCTGCTTGCTCGAAACAAGTGTAGTTTCAGCTACGTAACATTATTTTCTTACATATTTTTTTTGTTATATTTACCTAATATGAACATTGTGTACAAATACAAATACAAAACAGTCGTTAAAACTTGCACTTTCAAGAATATTATATTGACCTAATTCGAAAATTAACACTTTTGGGAAACGCGAAAAATGAATAATGTACGTGACACCACCATAGCACAAATATGACAAAATTGTATTTGGAATGCAAAACAATATATTAGTTTTATTTCGTACGTTTTTTTTATTGTAATTTGAATAAAAATGTTAATTTTCGATTTAAGTCACTTTCTTAGCGTGGCTGCGAAGTGACATCAAACAAACAACACAGTCTTGGATATCATTATCGCAGACCACTCGTAACGAGATACCGCGGTATTAACGGAGACGCCATTGCAGGTACGGGTCCGCGAGCCGTGGAGGGCAGCAAAGAGGCCGCCATGGAGGAGGCGGCGGTGGCGGCGTCGGCGGCGCTGGGCGCTGTGCCCAGCGTGCCGGTTGCCGCCGACAGCCTCACTTGCATCCCCGTGCCGCCGGGGCTGCCCGCCGCGCCGCACAACGTCACGTATGTCCTTGCATTTATTCACCCGCTGCACAGAGACGACAAACAACGATACTACAAAAGAACTTAATTACTATTATGCTTATATCTCCAATAATAATAAATCAATTTTTATAAGGTTTTAGGACATGAAAATTTACTATATATTATTTTAGTCATTCACTCACTCATTTACATATCGCGACATTATTAGAGTTAAGTCGAGGTTCTAAATACTTTGTTTAGTACACTTTTTTCTACTTTTATAATAACTTAGGAATATCACGTACTTTAATTAATTTTTCTCCTGTGTGACAACCACAGTGCCACAACCATATTTCTCATCTGCGGAATGGAAGCCTGACAGGTTTTTCTATACCCATCTGAGGCACCAGTCTCTCACAAAACAGCATGACTCAGACAGCGATCTTTGTTTTGTTTTTAACCTATAAGGTCCTCTGCTCTCAAGCCTAGTTTGTGACGAGAAAATAAAGTAAAATTTCATTTCATTAAACAGTGCAATAATTTCCAGTACTTAGTGGATATTATTTAAAAAAAAAAACAGTATTTACGTAGACAGTGTTTTTTTCATAAAGAAATAATTGCGTGTTTGACCTCTATCACACTTTATGGAAAGTGACGATACTGCTGACGGTGAACGATGCACTTAAATAATGCCCATCATATCTTGCTTGAAAAGGCCCAATATATAGAGTTCAGGGAATAAGACAATTTATTAAAATAAAGGGAATTACATTAACATGATGGTGTTGTGGTAACTAGCAATTTGTTACGACACCTTATTTCTACCCATCTATTATATTATAATGATTACTACGTATGTCGACTTTGTTTATATGTGAATATTCTTGTGTTTACTTTGTTTATATACGAATATCCATATGTGTACTTTGTTTATACATGAATATTCACATATTTACTTTGTTTACATTACTATCAGAAGACATACGTGCCCGGCCATGGAACATATAATGGGTTAACGATGATCATTATGATGACGAAATACTACAAAGTGCATCGTAAAGTTTTCCACACAATCTCCGAAGATAGATTTTTTTATAATCTCGTAAATTACACTAAAATAACATTCAAGAAATCGATAACGACCAAAAGGTACCACGCCGCTTCCGGAGTCGAACCTGCTATATACGCTTGCGAAGGTTGTAATCTTCTTTATCACTAAATATATATATTATAATCTAGGACGGTATTGGCGCAGACTTTTCAATTACGTCATGTCAACATTCCGGTATGAATTATTCACTCTCCAAGACGCGACGGCAATTTTATTCCTTTTGCTTCCACTCTGCTTTATTCCATACTCGATATTATGTAATTACTATAATTGGGGGCCATTTTGGATTTTAAAGGCGCTTAACAAATGCAATGGAAATGCTAAAATATTAAGGTTTCAATACATACACTTATTTAAAACAACGGTTGGTTGCTCCGCAAATAATAGTAATAAAAAAATAATAATAATAATATGAGTTTAAAAAAAATAATAATAAACAATTTATTCAGTACAATAGTTATACAAGTACCAATAGGTGACAAATAAGACAAATTGTGGGTTGCACATAATCAGAAAAAAAGCAAGTTGACAGGCCATCAGTCAGTTCCCAAACTAAGGCAACCCTGTATTTCGGGAGCTGATGACGATCCTCCGCCAGTGAACAGTCTTACCTCTCTAATTCTACGAACAGTTAGGGAGTCAGATTCACGTGTATACACGTGAAAAGTATCTCGGAATCAATAATGTTTTTGCCAATTAGTGAAAATCAAGTTTTGAACTATTCTTTTTTTTAACACCAATGGGTTTTTTTAATCATGAAACTATTCAAACTATTTCTTCGGATCTACATCGCCTACATTTGTTTTTTCAAACAACCGAACGTTTTGGGCCCTTTACAATTAGATCCCATTTGGCAAATACACGACTTTTAAAAAAAAATATTTTGTTACGTCTTTTTATTAAGGAGACATTACAGTTTGATTAATTACAAGAAACATTCAATATCTATATGTGTTCAACTTTATAAAATGTAATATCATTAAATATCTATGAATTATTCCAAAAAGACGTATTGTTGCCTTAGCAAATATAGCCGCCCGGGCGTGTTTGCCCTCTCTACTTCACAATTCAATATCTCAATTTTTCATCACAAGATTAATCTTTTAAAATTCATATTTTTATTCAAACTTCCCAAGTTTCTTTTTACTTCGTTTTTTCAACGAGACCACCGTTGTTCATTTAAATTTTATTCAATTCTCCTTCCATTTAATTTTCCAGTTCTTTTATAATGCACTTCAATTAATGTTAGTAAGGTTTTATTGTCTGCTCTGAATAGAATAATTTCTCACTTCTATATCCTTACTTGAGAGTATTTCTTTATGCTTACTATTAAGTATAAATGCTGTTTTTTCCTTCTTATTTTAGAGCTTTACTTTCCAAAGTAATGCTCACATAAATGCTTGGCGGCAGAAATAGGTAAGGCGGCAGTAATAGGTCTGGACGAACTCTTTTACAAGGAGCCCTACTGCTACTAATAGTCGTTAGTAAAGCCGGCCCCAAAACAAAAAACACCTACCTTAACAAAAACTTATTTGCCGTTAAAAAGTCGCCTTGCGACACTTAAGCAAAACGCTTATTAGCACACAAGATACTTATACCGTTCATTTCACTGATTAAGTTATTCTACACTTAAATTGAATACCATATGTAGTAAATTATATATTAAATAATGCGTGGAAAATTTTAGGCAAGCCGGTGGGAATCCAGTTATTTGGACGCCTCGCCGCTGGTGTTTATGTATTTGTAAAGTCGGCTTAATATGTTCTGCTTTTGACTTGATACCTAAGTTTTTATATACCTTTATTAACAAATCTTCTTTTTGCTGTTTATTGGCGATACCCTTTTAGGATATCGCCAGTATTTAGTTTTCCACTTTGTAATTTAAATATAGTGTGTAAATACTATAAAAAAATATGGCGATCATCGCTAATGTCTAGTGCCTCTACCACGGGTTTAATGTGACTGTTGTCGCTAGCGACCGCATAAATGACTTCACAATGTCGTATGGCAAATTGTACAACGCCCCAAGCGGTCCCAAGAAGAAAGAACGTTTTTTATACAAACATTTTACGCGGTTACTAGCAATAACTGTGACTGTAATCTCGTGGTAGAGGCATAGTTCCTCTCCAGCAATTTTCTTTCCATCGTGATTTGTACTTAAGTTTTAAAATTGATTCTATTTAATGTCGAACCAAACCAAATAAAAAAAAATTAGCAACAAAATCAACTTATTTACGATTTCGTCGAGAAATCTGATTGAATAATTTAACTGAAATAAATAGTTCAAAATAAGTATCGTTTGTAAGGACAAGCGCAAGTTTAGCATAGTAGCATTTGAAACAAATGCATTTGGTGACGACCTCGCTAGCACAGGACAAGGAGGACCGGGTTCGATTCCCGGGACGATCAATTATTAAATGTTTTATTTGTTGGTTAAGTTCGTTTTGAAGTTTTCTGAATTGATTCTATGCTGGGTGTTCTGGGTAGTGCTTCCGTAGTTAATTGTTTGGTTCTGGTGCACGATTTTTTCCCAGTTTGAGACCAGGTTATTGATCTGGCACATTAAGAATAAGAATACATTTATTGCATAATTATATAGGTAATTACATAAGGTCTTAAAATGTTACATTACTTTGTGCTCTTTAGTCTACCAGTTAAGGTGTACAATATTCTTATTCTTCTAGGTTAAAATTAAATTGCATTACAATATGAAAGAAAAAAAAAGAATTATTAATATCGCTAGTCACAAAATTTGTTGTTGTCGTCAAAAACCTATTTATATTTACTTCAGGCATTTTTAAATTTAACGTACTCGAATTTTTTAAATCCATTCGGAATGCTGTTGTATATATTGACCGACATTACGTAAAAACTTTTGTCTAAAATGTTAAGGTATGACTGCACGAGTAAAGCTTTCTATGGCCATGTCTGACAAATGCAGTAGCCTCCTTAACACACAGGCAGGGTAAACGTAGGATTTTGCACTTATTGAATAATGGCACATTCTGGCATAATGTGTTATTGAGGTAGCGCGTTCTTTTTCCCATTTTTATGTCAAATTTCCGGAAAATAATTGCGTAAACGTGTGAGTAAAGTGCTGGAACATACAGTCAGACAGCCATGACGAGAATAAAAGGTTGCTTAATTCACTACGGAACCCGAAAAAATTGTAAACATTTACTACAGGAAGGGTGCGCGTATTCGCGGCGATAGGTACTCGCGGTGGGCTGTGGGGTGTATGTTTGTTAAGAAAATATGTAATAATAAAGGCGTGATGTTCGTGCGTGTGTTGACAATCACTCCCGTGATTATTTGAAGAATACTCCCACGGGATCTGCCCGTGATTCAATCAGACCGAAATAGGGGTTGCCTCTGTCAAAATATCGATAACTTAAGTCTACTTATAGTAAAAAAAAGCTATTTATGTCTAAGGATTTAGTAGCAGTAGAGCTTCTTGGTGAAAGAGTTTTACCTATTTCTGCCGCTAATTAATTAATTATGTGGAACTGTATACGTTTTTACAATAAGATTCCGGAGAATATATTAAGATTGTCGTTTCCTAACTTCAAAACTTACATTAAAAGTATTTTAATTGAAAAGTCATATTACAAAACTGAAGAGTATGTTTTAGATAAAGAAAGACAACAAGAGTCTAGATTCCACACAATTATGATTCAAAGTGTATTCCATAGCATTTAAATTTATTTGAAAAGAGCAATCCCTTGAGTTTCTTGCTAGTTCTTCTCAGGGAGGTCAGCGTAGTGAACGAGCAGTAGCTTAAAAATGGCGTTTTCAAGTGTAAAAATTTTACCTATAGAATAAATGATTATTTGACTTTCACTTTGACTGTGTTATTGTTATTACGAATGTTATATCTCATATTTAAACATTTAGGTTTAATTTGCACTCCCAAGTCCACCTAAATCCTATAAAATAATACTATCCACTAACTGTGCTGTTGTTTGCAACAAATACAACGACAAATAGTCCAAACTAAACTATCGAGTATCGACATATCAATATCGACCGCGCACTACCTTTCATTGCTCGCTCCTCGGAACGGCTTGTTTAGATTTTTACGCAAACACCGCGCGCCCATCTTTCTAATTGCCTTAATTAAAAGCCCCACAGCAGGACTGGCGTTCACAGACATCGCATCTCAATTTGCTATTGAATAACAGAAATTGCGATAGTTTTCCAATAAATTTTCACAGAAAATCAAAGAGACGGTCAAAATAACACATACTAATATTATACGATCGCACAAAAAACAGAGATGAACTAAGTGGTTTGGTTTACATTTGAGCCCCCTTTGTTTAAAATTTAAATTTGTGTCCTATTGAAATAAACAGAAATCACTCAATATCTGCTGGTTTAATTTAATATTTAATATTAATTATCCAACGGCGGAAACATCGACTGCATTTAAATACTTCCGCAAAATGTACATAAATCCACTATCCCGAACGAGTGTACGGACATTAATTTGAGCGTTCGTTTATCTTTTAATGATGTTCAAACAACGTTCGCTGCTGACGCGGGGCTGTTTGTTAATTAGCAAAAATATATTGTCTACAGGGTTTGCACTTTAGCTTATACGGTTTGTAATGAAAGAGTAATTTTTGAGAATAAGAGTGTGACAGAAAACTAAGTGGTGGCACTTCCGTCGCAGATTCATTACTTAAATACAAACAAAATTGACAGGAACTCAATAATAAAACATGTATTTTGCGGCCTGTCCGCTTTGTGATAGATTGCCTTCCATTTGCTGCTACAACCTCGACACAAAATGTTTCGTCTCATCAACACGCATTTCATGTAGACTCATTAGTTAAAGGTACTCTTGACTTAGCCTTTCTTTAGGGCGTACTGAATTTGGTCGTGTAATTGCCCGCTCTCATTTGTCTCATCAATAAATCTGTTTCATCAATCTTCTTCCTTTCATCCTTTCTTCATGTCCGAACCACCTAGGCATCCTTTTTATCACTACATCTTTTTCACTTCCCATTTAAAAAGTTTAAATATAAAAGCAACAACAAAAAGTTACTTAGTAAAAAGAATCCCAACTAAATCCACTTCCATGAAAACGCAAACAGCCACGATTGCATTAGGTAAAGATTAATTACCGCACAATATGTACTGAGCACCCGTCCGGGGCGGCGTATAATTAAAAGAGTGCCGAATAACGCTAATTATGTTTACTTGACCCCCCTGGCCTCCCTGACTGCTTCCCTGTATGGCTATACTGGTATTTAATAGAAGGCAGTTTTGTTGATGTCATTTTATAATTACTACTTCTTGGTCGTCTACAAATGAATATAATTTTTCAATAATTGAGACATTTTTTTTATTGTGTGTTGATTTTGAAAAAAAAATAGACATTCACAATTTTGACTAAAATGAATACTGAATGAAAATTCGGTATAGAACTCTAAAATAAAGGAACTTTTTTCCGTGTAAATTATAACTTACGATTTTGCAATTTATTTTTACTCACTATACGTCTACTACGTTTACTAACACGCGTTATTGCGCGCGTGTAAATTCACCTGCTAATTACGTGATTGAAAATTTCGAGTGCATCAATTTTGATTAACACTCACCACAAACGGTGGTAGTCTATTTTAACAAATGCATATACAATTATCAATTAGCATTAGGGCGATGATTTTATTCTGTATTTTTATCTAGTGATTCAGTTGTTTCGTTCATAACAAAGGATTGTTATTTATCACGTACAAGCTGTAGATGCAACTATAATAATTATATAACAAACTTACGCGCTGAATCGACGGGAGTTCACCTCGAGATTATACGAATGTGTGCGTCTGTATAAACATGTTCATAGTACTATTTGGTTGTCTAGAAAAATTGTAATCAGCTTTAATAGAATCATTATAATGTAAATTTTGGTTGTAATAGAAAGAAAGCAAAATAATTTATTTGGTAACTTAGCTTAGTTTACATATATAAAAATGATAACATAAATAAAATAAAGAATATAAGAAAAAAAAAACAACGTAATTAAAGGAAAAATAGGGTATCCAAAACAATTAAAAAATTTAGCGAAATTAAGTTATTATTGAATATGACGATGTTTTACCTCGATGATATTTAATTATTTTTGTGAAATTACTCAACTAATTTCGATACCTTACTTACTCAAACTAATTTCGTTTAACTAAGGTAAACGATTCTTTTAAGGGGAACCGTATACGGTACGTTTTTACAATAAGATTCCGGAGAATATATTAAGATTATCATTTCCTAAGTTTAACTTACATTAAAAGTATTTTAATTGAAAAGTCATATTATAAAATTGAAGGGTATGTTTTAGATAAAGCAGTATGGAAAGACAACAAGAGTCTAGATTCCACACGATTATGATTGAAAGTGTATTCCATAGCATTTAAGTTAATTTGAAAAGAGCAATGAGCAAGAGCAAAGAGGTCAGCGTAATAAACAGCAGAGCTTAAAAAAATACGTTTTCAAGTGTAAAAATGTTGCCTATGGAATGAATGATTATTTAAATATGATTTTGATAGATAATAAAGATCAATAATATCTTTGTCAACAGGTTGGATCTCATCCGAACGCCGCCACTTCCACCGTCGCCGCCACCCGCGTCTTCAGCGCCGCCTGCGCCTCCTACGTCCACGTCATCAAGCAGTATGCCGGGTATGCTCCCGGGCAGTATACCAACGAGTATACCATCGGGCAGTATATCGGCGGGCAGCCCTGCGCCCGCGCCTACACCGCCTGCAAGCCACCCCGAGAACGTCGGGTCGCCCGGCACAAATACTGATAGTAATACGAGTACTGTGATCAACACTGTGAGTGCTTATACCGTTCAATACTTACATATTTACACGATGTTGTTTTGTGACTTTGATGTAAAATGGACCTGATAGTAGCCTACTCTGCCGTATTTAAATAATTCATAGATTGAGGCGTTACTACGCGGAAATCCGTGTTAAATAAAGTGGACGTAAATTACTCTGCACCGTGAACCCCGGTAAGAGTCAGTACAACCTCAAATGGCTTTGATTCCGCATAACTGTGAAAGTGTTAATACAATCAAAGTGAGTGCTCTGAAGAGTTATTCAACCTTATCCCTTCCTCTCCTTTCCATCAGCGGACCACCCGTGCCGGACTGCGTTGCCACAGTTGGACGGTCAGTTCAATACCGTCCCGCACTAAAAAGTTTGGCAATTCGTTCTTATGCCGAACCATCAAATTGTGGAACCAACTCCCGGCGCATGTATTCCCTCCCCTCTATAACATCGGGTCCTTCAAACGTAGTGTGAAGAAGCATTTGGCCAGACCGGCAAAATGATAGTGACGGAGTGAAGATATTTGTGTTTTCCATCCGTTACTCTCATCTCTGGACTGTATTCGCACTTTCCATCAGACGCGGTGCAGTCATTTTGCCGAGTCACAATAAAAAAAAAAAAAAAATCACTTTGGAAAAAATATATAGTAAAAATGAGGTTATACACTGATTAGTATACGGTATGAAGACACGATTCCTACAAATGTTCATCCTATAAAAAAAAACTTACCTCGAACAAAAAACACAACTGTATTCAATAGGTACTTTGCGTGATTTGACCAATGATTTTTTTTTGTCAACTGAACTAAATAGAACACGTGTAGTATAAGATATGCATTTTTCAAATGGCTTTAATATCGATTGTAAAAAAAAATTCTGAAATAAAGTCAGTGTCGCGCAATAGAACCGATTTAGTACGGGAAAAATTTTAATTCTAGCTGAGGTAGTATAAATATACAGTAAAAGTATAAAGCAAAAGATAGAGCACAAAATTCTCTTTTAAAAACAGTTAAAATTAGTTTACGTATTCGACTTATCGGAACGTTTTTTTCTTTTTTTTGCGTGGGGAAATCCTCCTAGGATACCTCTCCGCCGCGGGGGCAGCGGGAGGTTATGCCGGACTTCTACCGGCTAAAACCCCACGGTGGCCTTCTCGGGTGCTCTAGTGGGAAGGATACGGGATCGACTTTGCGCACCGGAACCCCCCCAGCACCTTGGAGGAGCTACGTCCTCCCCCTCCTCTCCTCACGACGAAGCGGGCCACACCGCCCCGTCGTCCTCCTCGCGGCTGCCTAACTTACTGGCGAACGGAGCCCCCGCTCCGATCGCCCGCAGCCGCGAAGGTACGCCGCCGCCGAGCGGGATCGGCCCTCTCCCGATCACGCTCGGCGACCTCCTTCTGAAGCATCACCGCTTCACAGAAGGAGACCACTGCCTCATGGGACTCTTGATCCGCCAACATAGCCGCTACTACGTACCCTAACGATGCATAGCTAAAATATCATTAAACAATTTCAATGTTCTAAAACTGGGTTAGGATTTTTTTTTATGATATCTCGCAAAATGATTTTGTCACCTAGCCGCGCATTATGCAAAATAGCTTCTTATCAATGGTATATACTATATTATTGCGGCTCCGAAATTAGCAATACTGACCGCGTCACTAGTAGCCACCATTCTGTAGCGTGGGTCATGTTTGCCATAGTAATGAGAATTTGCCAATTGACGTAACGTACCCGCCGATTGTTGTCCAGGGTGCAACAGACATCCAGGGCAAAATAGCTTCTTTTTGTTCAAACCTGGGGGTCTACTCTCGACATCCGTCCGAAACAATTACTGTCAAATCAGTAATATTCGACAAAATTAAAAGACAAGTATCAAGTATGAAGTTTCATTCGTATCATGCGTCTTTTCATTTAGTCAAGTATTGCTTATTTGGCAGTAATTGTTTCGGACGGATGTCGGACGGAGATCGAGAGTAGACCCCCTGGTCTAATCATAATAATGGTCAACGGCCTACGTACCCGAACGGTCACCATGCTTGTTTACCACGCAGAGGTTTTTTTATTTATTTATTCAATTTCAAGAACAAATTTTACAAAAGAACGACTCTTCTTTACCGCCAGGTAAAAACTTAGAGGTTTAACCGCCTAGCGATGAGCTAATTAGCTTAGAATTCACTATAATATTAACTAATTCTAGAGTATATGTCTACACTTAAATAAATGCTATAGATATTATACTACAAACCAAGATAGTGTCGCTTTAACACAGTTTTGCATTAGGTGTCTGGTAGATCGTTCAGTTTCGGTTCCGGGTTCGATTCTCGGGCTGAAAAATATGTCATTCTTCAACTTATATCTCTGTGACAGGCGCAATGGCAGTGACACTCAGATCTTTGCTATTTAAAGCTCCGAGCGGCTCTGCAACTGTTATGGATAGCTTACCATTCGTCCCGTTACTTAATATTATACAAAGATAATTATTTGTTATGATTATGAATATAAAGATGGAACATACAGAAACATTTTTCGTCGACCCGGTGGGACTTGAACCCAGTAGGCCATAAGGCCTACGTTTATTTCTCTCGTGAGTTTGGGTGTAATTTGTAGATGTCTATGTATGTGTCTATGACACTCGTTGCACAGGGTTTCCCTAGTGCGGAGCTATGAACGTGTGCATTATAATACACACGTCTAAGTTGTAGTACATAACAGATTGGCTGTGTTAAGAATTCGCAACTTTCGTCTGTTGGGACAGTTGTCGTGGTAAACTAACTACATAATTCCCTCCAGGCGACGTCAATATCGACAACGACAATAGCCTCGACGATGTCGATAACGCCTGTCGCGTCGCCCGCGCCTGCGCCCAGCCCGTCGCTGACGCCCGCCGCGTCGCCTGCGCCGGTGTCCGTGTGGGTGGCGCTGGCGTCGACGTCAGGCTCTGCGCCGCCGACGCCGCAGCCCGCGCAGCCGCCCACGCCCACGCAGCCACCGCCCACGCCTGAACCTGGTAAGTGGCTATTTCTGTAGCGCTAGACCGTTTTTTCATAGACATAGAAAACACAGGTTTTTTTTATAATATCAAGGAACGAGATGAACAAGTGGTAAGCGACACGCCTATCCTTCTCTTAGATCTTAGGGGCACTGCCCCTGTGCTCGTCACCCTCACACAAGTTGACAAGTCCCATGTGCCTGTAATTTCTCCAGCACCCATAGTCTTCAAAATCCGAACGCAGTAATGTTCACGTTACTGCTTGGCGGCAGAAATAGGCAAGGAGGCAGTACTTCCCTATACACATATTGTATAGAAGTTTACACAATACACAATAACTACAGTCTCACTGTGTCCGGCCAAACAATAGACATACAAATATTGATAGGCGAATGGGTCAGTTTTAATGATAACTAGATGTGAAAATAATAATATGAATAACGTCAAAATAAATAAGCAAATGTCAAAAGTTAGACAATGAATTTAGGGATTTGTCATTTAAAAATTCTGATGCTGTATATAATACACTTTATAAGTCAATAAGTTGTTTAATTGTTATCTAAATAGCATAAAGTTTTTCTCAGATACTTTCGGCAAATTGTTGTAAATTTTTTGGCGCCATTACAAAAATTAGTTTTACAAGCTTTCAAACGGAGTTAGTCCCAACGTCTTGGCTTTAGAGTTCGCGTGAACAAGTGTGAGTGCATTCGAACATACATATAGTTTCTTAGATATAAACAGAGGGAACAGTCAGTAGTCAAAGATTTTTAAATTAAAATAAACTTAGAGTTTTTCTTTATTTTTTGTCACCTATTTTGGCCACGATAACGACTTTCTACTTGCTCGGATTTGATGTTGTTGTGTGTTTCGAGTCGATTTTTTCGTCTTTTTTGCTCTTATTGCATGGTTATAAGGCTTTTTCCAACCGACTCGAGTCGATCTGCATTAACAAGTATGGTGACTCTATAAAGCAACTTTCAGAAATCCTTTAAAATATTTTCAGTTATGGTTATAGTACATATTACTGTTAGTGCGATATATAAACTAAAATGGATTTTTAACGTTAAACAAATTTCCATACAATACAGTTGCCAAATTCGTTTGCATAGAACAATACAATCGCAGGTAAACTCGTTACATTCAATCACTGTTGCACTTTGATTTTTAACTTAACCGTATGTTATTGTATGTGTGCGTGTACAGGGTGGAATAAATCAAATGGGACATGATGGGGAATGATATTAGATTAATATCAGATTTCATGGACGTCTGGTGAAATTACAGGCACATGGGACTTGTGAACTAATGTCTCAGGGTGACGGGCGCAGTGGCAGTGCGCCTCAGATCTTTGTGGTTTAAAGGTCTGAGTGGCACTGCAACCGTTTTGGACAGGCGTGTAGGCGTTTGTTGTCAGGCGCATGACACATTCGTCTCGTTTCTTGATATTATAAAAAAAGTATTTGATTGTAGAACCCATATTGATAGTATATACATGTATCGATTAGTACAATAAAATGTATTAATTGTATGCATGTTTAGATGGTTCCATTCCCGCCTCATGTTAACTGTAACAAAATCTGTGAATGCAGTTATTAATATTTAGCAAAAAAAAGTCTATTTTAAGGATAATTAGTTATCTTAAGTGTTTAAGGTATTTTAATATTTATTTTTTTATAAATATTTAGATTTTTTCCACCCTATATGGCAACGAGCAACTACGAATGTCAAATTGATTGGGCTTAACTTGCAGAAATTTTATAAATCTAATAAAAATGCGTTAACAAATCATTATTACAACGAATTATAAAATAAACTTTGAAATAAGAATATAAGGACTACGGAGTTTGACCGATAATCAGCTATAGCTTGTTATTGTTAAGAGTGCACAAGAAAATAACAAACACACAAAATAAAATATTCAAGAACAATAACACTCCAATGAGTGTTATTGTTCTTATTGATATAATAAACAAATAAAAAAAATAAAACGCAAAAAATTTTGCACCCGTGATTATCAAATAGCCATTGTGACATGGTGTTTACCGTGACGTTTTAGCAAGTAATATTCAAATTTCTTCTCAGTCAATGCAAGGTCATTGGTTTCTACCGCCACACCATCATAGATCATCCAAAAATAATGCTCGAAAAATACGAGAACTTAATCTTTAAAAATATTGAAGTATAGCAATGCGATGCGATAGAAACATTAAAACCTCAAGATTATTTCAGCCTAGACACAGCACGTTTACATGGCGAACGGCTATGAGTGGAATTCCCTGCCTACAGACTTATTTTCGGAACGGTATAACTTGAGCCTTGTCAAGGCGAGAGAAGGCACTATTTAGATGTGCATGCTTCATCGTAAACCTTATCGTAATTTTCCATCTAGGAAGATGTTGGCCATTTGGCGCACTTGTCTTAATAAAAAAAAACAACGCTCATTTGATAAAAAGTGTTATTATTCTGAAGGAGACTTTGGAGAATAATTATAGATAGATAGATAAAACGTTTATTTGGATCTACTGACACACATACATAACAGAAAAATATGTAATATAATAAAAAGAAAGAAACCAGCAGAGTCGCAGCACTGCCGAACACCCAGTTATGTATGTGTGCTGTAGTAGTGCAAAAAGGCCATAGCTCAGCGTGCGTCGGTGTTTAACCAGGAGCAAACCGCTGATTTTCAGCTATAACCTAGAGGATGCCGCAGATACTATAATCAGCCAGCTGACGCCATTTTCATGTTGTATAAACTTAACAAATAATAATTTCGAAAGTAAATAAATACGGAAAATAATATAAAAATATAATAAATGATAATTTTTTTTAGATTTGATTTACCTATATTAATAATATAACCAAATTATAAATTGAAATTTTAAGTGATTATTAAATTTAAAAAAGTCAATTTAATTATAAATAAGTAAATCCTGTTAAGCAAAGCGCTGTGGAATATCCTTTTTTTATACTTGCCTGCTACCCTATATACCGCAACGGAAGTAATTATTTTTAAAAAAAGAGTTAAATAGAGTTCTTAGGTTGTAGCAATTGTTACACTTAGTAATAATCTCAGTACAGAGTACTAAAAAAACCGACCTCAAAAATACGTGGAATTGCATCTATTTGCCAAGTTTTAATGAAATATGGGGATGTTTAGTTCGCCACTATACAGACTTCACACAGAAGATAATAAAAATCGGTTCTCACTACTCAAAGTATATTGAGACCTTGAATTGGAGAATAGCAAAACCAATCAATAAAATAATTGCTCCTTAAGTATAATTTAGGCGCTATTTATAAAAATGAATGTTCATGCGTGATCAGCCACCCTTAGAGGTGGATGATTTTCTTCAAAATGAAATGGGATCACTATGGAGGTACCCTCTTTCCAACACAAAAAGAACCATGAAAATCGGTTCACAAATACCGGAGTTATCGCGTAACATACATACAAAAAAAACACAGTCGAAAGAACCTCCTCCTTTTTTTGAAGTCGGTTAAAAAAGAATGACCGAGATGGTTATTCTTCTTAACTCTCCTTCTGACGTCCGCCCGAAACAATTACTGTCAAATAAGTAATTATATATTAAAAGATGCATGATGCGAATGAAGCTTCACACTTGACATTGTGTTTTAATTCGCTCGAGCATTACTTATTTGACAGTAATTGTTTAGGACGGAGTATTGTTGGATGAAGAGTAGGAGTAGACCCCCTGTATAGAGCTCAAGAATACAAATAGTTTAATTTCCAAAAGAATGATTAGTTTTTATTATTTTTACTTCATATTACGTTTTTTATTTGCGCCCTAATCGGGTCATACTATTTTAATCTTAAGGCCACTATAATACTCGAGAACAATAAATACGTTAACTTCGACATTGTACGTGGCGTATTTTTTATTTTTCTCTTTATTTTAATACGATTGTGTAAAATAAAACAGCGCGTAATCTGTAAACATTTATTTTAACACTATAATTTTGTAAATGAGTTTATTTAAAACCTGCGTAAGCTCGTATCACGTACAATACTGATATGTATCACTGACATTCTCTACACTAGTCTAATCTACGATACACGCACATTTCTGTTACATCTAATGTTCAAAATTAACTTATTCCGTGGAATGATAAGATGATTTTTCTCACTTGTTCTTTGGCACATTTGAAAGTTTTACACAAAGTTAAATTATCGCCCATTTGGTGCTACTCTGACGCAATTGTATTTTTTGTAATATTACAGGAAATAGATTTGAATAGACTCTTTGTTTTTATTTCAAATTTATGACGTTTAAAAAAAACTGTATTTTTGTAATATCGTCGGGGATAGTGCAAATCCGCGTATGTAACGTTGGTAAAAGGCGCGTATCTGCACTAAATCAAATGTTACAGGAGAGGGATTTAACGTTATTACTTTGTTATTTCAACGGCTACGACTTCCATTTTTGCAGAGTAAGCATTAATTTATGTTGTCTACGGACTGATAACAATAGATTCCCGTATATCACGCTAATTTGGTTGCCACGACATGTACGCGGATTTAGTTTGACCACTAAATTACCGAAATGGAAACCCATAATCCAATGCTAGTTACGCGTGATTGTACTAAATTTTAAATTACCGCCGATTTTTCCTCAAACGTTTTTTATGTTACAAATTTTTATGTAACAAACGTCAATGTTGCACCGAATGAACGTTATGTAACAATTATCTAATTTCATAATTTCGTTGTGGCACTATTTAAGTATTTCCGTATTCACACTCCAACGTTTCGTTTGTATTCTTAAGTAGCAGCAGAGGTAGACGGCTCAGGTTGTTGCTCTTTAGCTAATGCCCTTTCTGCACTCACTTCCTCAGCATGGCATCGCTTACGGTGCTTATGAACAAAGTAGTACGATGGAAACTTTGACCCGCAAGTTTTACAGGGGTAGTAATGCAACGTTGGCCGCTGAGATTTGCGATGTCGGCACCAGCTCCCCTCCGGAGACGATTCTTTCCACGCGGAGTTCAGTACTCTA